TTTTGTGATCAGGATACAGGATTGATTTTATAGGCGAGCATTCCAAGATTAAAAAGAGGAAATTGTAACGTGCAAGCAGGTAGATAAGTGTCAGCCTTCATAAACAACTACATCATATAGTTAGCAACGCCATTTAATGTTTACATAATAAATGCCGTCGCGATTATTACCCTGTTAGTCAGTTAGTGGGCACGTCTTCGGCCTTCTTGCAACTTGTATGATTCCTAGAAGTTGAGGTAACTCTGACCTGAAATTCAGTCATGATACATGCGCAGCAGCATGCAGTGCCGGTCTGTTCCGTCGAGTGACTTTTCCTCAAAGCCTCAAAAACTGCTTTTCATCTTAGGTCCTTAAAGTGCTTCATTTACATTTATATTTAATCACAATACCATAATCGATTCAAGCGTACAGGTTTATTTGCATTGCAAACGATGACCTTCGCTTAGTTAGAAAAGAAGGTCAGTCTGTGACCGTGTTGCATCTCCATCTTTACTGCCACTTGAATGAAAATCCATTGGTCAGAACGTTTAGACATTATTTGCTAGGTCATTTCACTTCTGAGTACGAAATGAGTGACTGAGTTTCCGAAGATGACGACACTGATGGTATCCTCATTCTAGCGCCGGAATTCACGAATGTTATGGCAAATTTCCAGCTATTGTTCCGCTGAACGGGAAGTGAATGTCGCAGGTGGTTTCTTTGAACCTACTGTACCAGTGCACTTGTGAGAAAGCAAATTTAATTAAGTCATTAGAAGAAACTTGTCGTATTGGCATTCGAAACATGACATGAACGCGTCCAAGGTCCCAGCACCCAAGTGGTTTCCGGGCCAGCAGAAATTCCCATGCTTGTCAAGACGCTTTTACCTCGAAAAAAAGACCGGAGGGCTATGATACGTATTAATCACCAAAAAGTCATGGCTAAATCTTTTCTTTACGCTGTCTATCGCATGGAATGAGAATCAAGACTCATCGACAAGAAGAACGGGATATCTCGAAGGTAATTCATGCATTATTCATCTGACTTGTCTTCACTGTGGACGGGCCTTAAACATAAGTCGATGCTTATTCAATCTTCTCTTATCATCATCAACCTTGAACAATCGCGTATGTGTCAACGTTCATTCCAACGGATTCAGAGAGGTGGAACCCTCTGTGAGATTTCGGTAACGGATAGATATCATTGGCGAGGGACGGGAAAGCACCATCTTCTCCTGAACTCAGAATGGGCTTGTGCATTACCTGCAGACTCTCGTTCAGCAGAAAATTTCGTACATGATATCAATCAGTGAAGAGAATAAATGCCTGGAAAGAAACTACCCAAACCTGCGGATTTACATATTCACCAGTATATACAAAAACGACACGATATTTTCCGTCCACCGTGTCATACATCCATGAACAAAACACCTTCGTCCTCATTTGCGGTACTGCTAACTCTCCTTATGCGGGTTTTCGCGTTTAAAGAATATCTGAAAACACGTACCTCGCAGAGTAAACAACAACAACAAAAAGCAGCGCATTTCAGAATTTTTTTGTGCCGGTTCAAACGTCTAGATTCACAAATATCGTAGGACTCTCCAAAGACCGATTTCCCAAGACCTGATGCTTAGCCCTTAGATAAGCAATGTACAACTCAGTGAAAGATGGCGATGCACCGTAACTGAAAGGAACCGTAACGAACACTACTACTACGTGAGGCCCTGTTTCGTAGATCACGCATTCTGCGCTTCTCCAAGCAGAAATTATTAAATACAAGAAAAGCCCCAAGCCATACTTCAGACTGTAACGAATTTTACGGTCCATGGTTCAGAGCATCAGAAACGGCGTGTTGGAGCATTCACTGCCTACGCGATTCGCTAACATTCGATAGTATCATCAGGGCACATCATGTCCTCAAACAGCCGTCGACACGACACTTGCAATGACACCGACCACCGTGAAATCGAGCGGCACGCCACGACTGAGTCATGAGGTACAGTGGCGAGGAGTGTGGGCCGCTCATAACAAACACCTTATCGGTAACCCGACCACAGAGGACCCGTGACATGGACCTGGCCGGACAAGGGAGGCCTGGGTTAGAGCAGATTCAGACAGGACAGCGGACTGCTGACACCTCCTTCACCTTCTGAAGATGAAATCTAGGCCGCAATGTGATAGCGGCCTAAGAAATCAGGCAGTACAACACATTATTTCTGAATGCCGCCGCGATACTTCGATGGCAGCGTAACAGATACCTAGAACGCTAACCCGGTGGCCATTCATTGACGTAAAACTTTGGACATTGAGACATAAGGTTGCTATTCCTCTTCTCACAGTCATACACCAGAAGAAAAAACAGGACCCATTTGATATGGCGACAACCAGTACAAAACAGAACGCGAGAGAGGGAATCAAGAAAGTGAGTGTCAGATTCAGGTTCTGAATGAGGTCAGTCTCAAGTTCGTATCGATTTGAGTTGGTTATGACGACTGAGTTTTCTTTATCACCATGGAATAGCAGTAGCTATTGAACGTTCGATGTCTCAATGCCAGAACTGAAAGACTCGTACATGGCAAGATCGAGTCTTCAGCGATCTGGCGACTACAGAAACGCCCGCCTGATTAAAGGAATGCTTGGGCGCCGTGGTAAAGTGGCAAAGGAGTGGGCTTCGAGCTTCAAGGGTGCCTAATTAGAATTCTGAGAAAGAGCGATCCTCAAGTTAACTTAACCGCGAATGCCCACATTGGTTCGATACATCGAGCGGAGAATCGGGTAGCAAGTCGTTGACTTGCCAACAACAGGGAGGGCAGCATGGTGTTCTGGCACGGTCAGACCAGATTACGCGACAGGTACCGTCGCGCCGTCTGATTTTAGGGCCTTGTACTGCCGCAAATCGCCCTGACACACCTGAGAGCTGCTTATTCAATGCGATAATCAGCAGGTGTGCCAGATGTGGTGTTGTCTACCAAATGACGTGCTGGACACACTGGAGCCGTGCGAGTCGGACTGTAGACGAGTGTTCTTTGACCGGGATGTTCGACTTTCACCAGGTCTTCACGATGTACATTCTTATAGCAGTCTTCGCTACCCGTTGTGAAGAAAACTTTCAGCTGTTCTGCGCGGTTGCTGGCAAGGTATTTCATACATAAGAGAATTTTAAATGCCGTAGCAACGGATTTTCACCTTTATGAAGCGACTTGTTGCCAGCCTCGTGACAAGGGCGCTGGCGTGGTTGCGAGACGTACAGCCAAGAAATATTCTAACATCAGCTTTGTTTGTTGCCCTGAACCACGCACCGTCAAATTCACTAATTTTACAACAATGACCCAGAATCGAATTACTGAAATACACTCCTACTGCTTCGTCTACGGGTGGTCAGTAAAGCGAGTATAATACTTTAGTTAACGAGGTGAAAACCTTTTGGAAGCATTGCCAGTTTTGAAACATAAAAAGTACCGACTACGAGCAGCGTGAAACCCAACAGCAGTTTTAGCAAAACACGTAGTCAAAAATAGCATAAAGAATGTAAACGTGGGATGGCTTGTAGCAGAAAGAAAGCTTTTTGATCACAACGCGCAATGAGATTCGTACTGTACGTCTACAACACAAAGATTTTGAGAAATTGTTCTTAATAACGGTAAAGCTGAATGTGCAGATTTGAAACCCCGACCACCTACGATACAAATTCGGCAGCTCAGACAGTTATAACGTGGCTTGTTACCTTAAATCATATTTCATCTGGCAAACACATCAATTTCTGATGCCACATTTACTTAACACAGGAGACCGCATCTTCTGATTGTAGTGACCTATGGGAAGAGCGATTTAAACAGATCGAAGCTCCATGGTATTTGAGCACCTGCGATGGATTCCATAAAGGACCGTATCACACACTGGACTAAACAATGCCGCGTTCGAGCGCTAACTAAATTTGCCACCTTTCGTGGGCAAATATGTAAACAAGGTATAGCCTCGATATTCCGCTAGAGTTACCAGATGGGGTACTATGCAGTGGTGACCCAGGGCATCGAGTCTATGCTGATTTTTCCTCAGTGCAGCTGCACGAGTAGCATAGGCGTATATGACTTGAAAATTCCGTTTCCAGGCAAAAATACAGGCATTACACCAAGGCGAATTTTTAGCTTGTAAAGCTAGATATGTGAAACGCCATTAAACGTACCTCAATCGACAGGTCTAACGTCGAAGCAACCGGCGAAAGCCGTCTACGACATTCAAGGCCAGCGACAGTTCGGTTGCCAGAAGAAACTCAGTCTCGGGCAGGAACGCACCTCACTGAACACGTCGTCGCAGCCGACACTCAACGGATGGAGTCGAAATAGCCGTCTCGTAGAGCGTAGTCAGCCATTTTACAGAAACATCTGCGATCACAGGCACCGTCAACAGAGTCGTTTACTCAATAAATCAGGTGCAGCTCTTCGCTCGGTCTTGCAAAGCTGCACAAGCGGCAGTCAATCGGTCAGCAATCGCGAGTCAATGGTCAACGGTTGCCCAAGCGGCCTTCATGGTCAACGGCATTGGGCCCATCCGCAGATGCGAATCACCTACCAGAGCCGTACGACAGACCCGATCCCACGCCTTTCGGACAAAGCATAGGCGAACAAAGGCGGTGCCTGTCGAATGGTCGAATGAGCGATTACGGTCGTCATTATGATTATGAGCTTGGCGAAAGTCACTACGTCGTCATCTGATGAAGCATGTCTTCTTTTAGTCTGTTCATAAACCACTTTAAAGCATAGCCATTTCACGCTCGCCAAAACCAAACTGATTACGTCGATTTTGCGTGTTGACTACAGACTAGACCGAAGACTGCTCTAGGAGTGGTGGCAAAAATCATTCGCCGACTTCAACCTCCGGTTTCCTCTTTTACCGTCCTCGCTTTCGTCGCATTTCCTGCACGCGCTGTTTTGTTCATCTCCTTCCTCTTCTTTCATCGTATGATTTCTTTCTCTTCTTACATCTTCAGCTGCTTTGCCTCCTTTCTGCCCATCATTTTCCTTCTCTTTTTCTTATCCTACTTTTCTCTTCAGCTCCCCTTCGCAATCGAGGTGCGATAAGCTTAATAACTCGGCTCGGCCTATACTGATGATGTGCGATATGTTGAAGTTGGTTCTTCGGAATACACCCTGATATATCTTCTGATTTCGTGGCTAGCTACACTAGAACGACAAACACTTTTAGCACTATTCCGTCGTTTCGATCGAACTGGAATCGATCATCAGGGGATGGCTCCCAGTTCATTCAGAACGTTAGAATGCCAAAAGTGATTTTTCTTGTTTATTATCCTGCTAATCATAAAATCCGAAGATATACCGGCCTCAAACGATCCATGGCATTGCAACGGTATGTTCTTAAAACGCTATGTATTTTCCTCTGATGCTTTCAGCTTTAGATACTTCGATGAACTATAGCCAAACCATAATAAGTAATTGAACTTTAAAACACTGAGGGAGAGACTGAGAAGTGATGTAGGAACGAAATCGACCAAACTATTAAAAGAATGCGCTGTCTACAGATAGCAGGAGGCATATTGTGCAAGAACGTGATTGGCAGACATATGGTACTGCTATGGATGATCGGCAAAAAAGGATGAACGACCTCAAATATCCACATGTTTGACCTCCGACTGAGGTAATGAAGCGTCATGAAGCGTTAGGCGCATTTCCACCTGATGCAATGTTCTTGGGGTTCGCTGTAACCACTAATTGCCTTCACATCGTGTCATACCTTTGCTTAAAGCATCGTGTCAACTTTTACTTGGTCTTCACCTTCTCCTCATCGGTGTTAGTTCATGAATAACACTGCCAACGTATCGCCATGTGTTACGTCCAAATGACCGAACCACTTGTGCTTGTTTTCAGTCAACGTTTCTGTTGTGGAAGCTCCACTGAATGTGCCCCATGAAACTGTTTTCACCCGGACCGTCGTTTTTGACGGCACACATCCATAAGTTCCCGTAGCTCACTTTACGAAAAAGTTTAAGCCACACGATGAACAACATCGTGAGGAATGGCGTATTTCAACGAAACTGTGAACCACGCAAAGACGGCAACCAGAGAAAAGAGATTCCAGCAAGGTTCTAGCAAGATTCTAGCGAAGTAGACCAACACACTAAGGTAATTGAGCTCTACGCATAAGTGAAACTCTTGCTTTGTCATGCAATTCGCAAGAACCTCTCTACCACGCTGCTAATAAAGTAC